CGTTCTGTCTAAACATTGATGCGCAAGTAGTGAATAATGTACAGGTTAACCACTTACATAAAATAAAATGTTTGGCTGGTCACGGCAAGTTGGCTGCTGCCAGTCGCGCAATGGGACTGAGAGTAAGTAACGCCCGCTGCTACTATTTCCTGATGGGTAACCACAACTTTGTAGTGAATAAATACTATATATGACAATAAGGGTCAAATAAACAGACAATAGGCATATAATCAATTTTTTGTAATTGCATTCTAAAATATTTAAGTGTGCAGCCCACTGACACTTTTATTTTTTAAGGTGCCTAATTATTCAAAATCGTGATCGAAGATAGTTAAAGTAGGTGTCATAATAGTAATTGTAGAGTAATTTGTATATTTATATCATAAAATAAAATTAAACAGGCTAATTTATAATACAACTAAAAAAAGGTTTTATTCACACAATATTAAATTTTTACACGTATAATAAGAATTATCAAAATTTATTGACCCTTAAAAATAGTCAGTTTCTAGTACCATGTTCTAAGTGAAGGTTATTCGCTGAGCATTTTTAAACTATATTTGATTTTTAAATTAATGTATGTTGAAATTATAGATTTTATGAGAAGAGTTACATGATCTGTTAATGGAATTCAGGTTTCGCAGCTATGGCTTTGTAGTGACTTAAAAATATTTGAATTGTATATAAAATAAGTAAGAACTTACGACTGAATTTTTAATTTGTTAATAACTTTATTTGAGAAGTCATATTGTTTTAAAGTTTTTTCGGTTTTGAAACATGTGTTGAGTACATCTTCAGATGGATATATCAAACCACCTTTATTACCTCCCTTATTTTTTAAAGGTAATAAGGGAGTTAAAAAACAGTCTCTTTCAACTGAACATAATGAATCTTTGCACATATCACATTTAAGAGTATTAGTTAGTTTATGTACCACAAACCCTGATCTATAAATTATAATTTCTTTTGTAAAATTACTAAAAGAATAATTACACCATAGACAAAAATAGTGTTTATGTTTTAGAGATCACACTTCAAGAGGTCATGTCACAAATAACTATTGTGAGGTCGCTGTAAGGCTGTTCAAAGACTATGTATTATGTAGGGTAAAGGCTTATAATGTTTTAGCTCTAATTGATTTAACATGTACTTCTTCTTCTTCTTCTTCAGTTATTGTAGGCCATTAAGGCCCATCACTGCTCCACACAGCCTCCTCCATTCTTCTCTCTCATTCGCTAATTCTTCCGGGTTATCTACCCCAAGTATCCTAAAAAACTGGTTTGGTTCGTCTATCCACCTTTTCTTCGGTCTGCCCAGTGGTCTCTTGCCTTCCGGTTTCCACTTAAGTGCGTAAATCATTATGCCATTCGATCTCCATACATGTCCAAGCCAGCTCATTTTTCTGCCTTTAAGTGTTTGTATTATGTCCTCTTCTCCTAACAGGTTTTTAATTTCTTTATTGGATCTTATTTCATATTCACCTGTTTGATCATTTTTTTTGGGACCGAATATGCGTCGTAGGAATTTCCTTTCTAGAACTGCCAGTTTTCTTTCGTCCTCTTTTGAAGTTGGCCATGTTTCACATGCGTATAAAATTACTGGTCTTACTAAAACTTTGTATAATCTTATTTTTGATTTTTTTTGATAATAGCTTGGACCCGAAGGTTTTCTGTAACGCGAAATAACACCTGTTTCCAGCGTTTACTCTTAGGTTTATTTCCTCATGGTAATTATTGTGACTATTTATATTCACTCCCAGGTATTTAAAACTTTCTACTTTTTCGAAACAATAGTTTACAATGTTCAAACTTCTATTTTGGTGTAGCTGATTACATCTTTTTACTATCATATATTTAGTTTTTCCTTCATTTATCATTAGTCCCATATTCATCGCACTGGTTATCAACTCCTCCGTGGTGGTTTTTATGTCCTCTTCATTTGATCCAAGTATCACTACATCATCAGCGTATGCTAGTAATGCATGCATTTGACCATTGAAACTGACACCTTTTGCTGTTTCTTGAACTTTCCTGACAACCTCCTCTAACGCAACGTTAAACAATATTGGTGACAAGGCATCCCCTTGTTTTAAACCTACTGTTGTCTCGAATTCTTCTGAGTAATTGTTTCCAACTTTAATTTTACATCTTGATTCTTCAATGCATGTTCTCACCATTCTGACTAATTTTGATGGTATACCGAACTTTTCCATGCTTTTCCATAGTGGTTTTCTTTTGATAGAATCGTATGCCTGTTTAAAATCTATGAACAGTAGGTGTAATGGCTTATTGTACTCGTAATGTTTTTCTATTAACTGTCTTAGTGTAAACACGTGGTCAATTGTGGATTTTCCTGGTTTAAAGCCGCATTGGTATTCACCTACTATTTCTTTCGTATATGGTTTGAGTCTATTTAAGATAAAATTTGATAATATTTTATAAGCTGCATTGAGTAATGATATGCCTCTGTAATTGTGGCAGTCTTCTGGGTCCCCTTTTTTATATATAGGGCATATTACTGCTACCTTCCATTCTTCTGGTATCTGCTCTTGTTGCCATATTTTCTTTATTAGTTCCCATATATCATTAACAATTAGTTCTCCTACCTTTTTTATGAGTTCGGCTGCTATCATGTCCTCACCCGGGGCTTTGTTATTCTTTAGTAATTCTATTGCTTCTTTAATTTCGTCTTTCCCCGGCATGCATTGATACTGTTCTACCGTTGTGAATACATCGTTATCCTGTCCTTGGTCTTCTATTTCAGGTTGGTTCAGCATTTCTTGGAAAAATATTTTGAACTCTTCAGCAATGGCTTGTTCGTCTGTTATCAGTTCATTATACTCATTCTTTATTATTGAAGATTTTGGTTTATATGGTTTTCTTATTTCGTTAGCTTTTCTAAAAAACATTTTAGAATCTTTGTAAGATTCTTCCATCAATTCAATCCGTTGTTTTTCCCACTCTCTTTTTTCTCTTCTTATTACTTTTTTCATTTCTCTTTGTTTCTGGGCTAGTCTTCTTTTGTTTTCTATACTACTTTCCATAATCACCAACGATTTTGCATTATCTCTTTCTTATATTGCTTTTTCACAGTTTTCATTGAACCATTGTTTGATATTTTTGTTGTTCACTGTACCAATTTTTTCTTCTGTTACCCCTTTTATCGTTTTACTTAATTGTGTCCAATGTTCTTGATAGTTTAGGTTTAAGTTGTTGACCCTTTTTTCTTTTAGTCCTTTTCTGTATTCATTAGCTATCTGTTCCTCTTTTAATTTGTCTAAATCGAACTTTCGGGAAGTTTTTCTTTTTTGATTCCATTTGATAGGTAGTTTTATATGTAGTTTTACCTTGACTAGGAAATGGTCTGAGTGGCCACTCACCCCCCTGTAGCTTCTTACATCTTGTATGCTATGTATGAGTTCTTCATCAACCACGACATGGTCTATCTGGTTTTTTGTATGCCCATCAGGTGATATCCATGTTTGTTTATGTATTTCTTTGTGGGGGAAATGCGAGCTACTGATAGTCATATTTTTTGACATCGCAAATGAGATAAGTTTGTTTCCATTGTCGTTGGATATTTCATGTAAGCTGTGATTCCCAATAGTAGGTTTGAAAATTTGTTCTTTACCGATTTTTGCGTTCAGGTCTCCTATTATAATCTTTCTGGTCCTATGAGGAATACTATCATAAACTCTTTCTAGTTGGTTGTAGAACACTTCCTTAGATTGGTCCTCTTTATTCTCGGTTGGGGCATGACAGTTTATTACTGCGATGTCTCCCCATTTACATTCCAACTGTATTGTACAAATTCTTTCGCTATATGGTATGAAGTTTTTAACGAATGGTAATATACTGTTGTTTACTATAAACCCAACACCATATTCATAGCTTTGGCCACAACTATAGAGTATGGTCGCATCACGAAGTTTGATACCCTACATTCGTCCATCTGATCTCTTGTATGGCTACTATTCCGCACAGATATCTCTGTAATGCGGATATTACTGTCGTCATTGCTCCTGCTGCGTACATCGTACGTAAATTCCATGTTCCTAGACTAAACTTTTGCAATTTATTTTTCATCCGAGGCTTTGCTGTGTTTTGTTTCGGAACCAGGTTGTTTTTATGAGTTGGGTGGTTAGCCCTACGTCAACCCCCATTAATGGAGGGCCCAAGTTTTGAAAGGTTTCCCCTTTCGCCTTATTAGGTACCTACTGTATCTAACAAGGGGCTATTGCGGTGTAATTTCCTACACCGGGCGATGGGAGCGCAACTTTCCCCACGCCATTACCTACTGGAATCGTCTTCCTGAGACTTTCCACCAGTAGGAGCTCGGGACCCCGGGTTCGCTATACCCGTAGTACTAATTGCTTAGTACCCCCTGGGGTGGATTTAACATGTACTGCCTTAGAAAACTATTACAAACATAGATTAAGGGAATTTTCAGACAATAGAAATGCATCGTCCAGGTTATTTGGTTATTTCTACAAAAAATGATTAACCCTTTCACTACCACTGTCCATTTCAATGGACATGCATTTGTATTCATTACTGTAAATCAACATTTGATTACAACGACGTTATGATACATTATAATTGTTCGCTAAATTGTATAGATTAAGATAACCGTCTATAATTTATCTATAAATGATAAGGTTTTTGTAGATAAATAATTAACAATAGAAAATTTGAAACAGATGGTTACGCGTAAAAGTACGCAACATTTTTCTATTTTTTCTTTATTTATATTACTGTTGGCTACACTGGGTATTTTTTTCTTACATATTAGTTAGTTACAGAAGCTGTTGATACTGTAAATTCTTTGATATCATATTTCTTTCACCCGATAACACACGTTTGATGTTATGTCCATTTGAATGGACACTGGGAGTTCATGCCTTATCATACAATGATAACAATACAATGATATTATCACTGATATGAGCTTTTCCGTTGTGAAATAATTCATAATTTTAAGGAAAGTTAAACATTTTAATGATGGCTTTAAACGAAAACCAAATTTTGGATTTATTAAATGATGGGTACAACAGTGATATTGATATTCTGGATGAAAACGACGATCGTGACGATGAATTGGAAATTCTTTTAGATAATTTCGAAAACGACGATTTTCTCGGGTATTTAGAGGCACTTCATGAAGAAGAAGATCAACTACAAGCAAATGAAGTTGAACACGAAGATATTGACGAAACGCTTGAAATTACAGGACCAATTCATACACCAGTTACATTAGGACTTAATTTTGTTCAAAAGAAAGACATAGAGTGGATAAACACGCTTTGTACTGCACCAATATTAGAACTTAATGATTTGGTTATTGTCGACCCTCCAATTGATATGCCAACACCAATTGAATATTTCATGAAGTATTTTAATAATACGTTTTTTGAAAATGTTGCTTTTAACACCAATGTATATGCAGTGCAAAATAACAGTAGTAATTTTAAACCCACAAGTGCTACAGAAATAAAATCCCTAATTGCTATTCAAATGATAATGGGTTGTTTGAAATATCCTAAAAAGGAAATGTATTGGACACGTAGATATCGTGTTAACATTATTGCGGACACAATGACCAAAAACCGATTTTTTTCCCTGAGACAACATATTCATTTAATTAAGAATTTGGATATACCTAGAAACAATAAAGATAAATTTGTTAAGGTACGTCCTATTTATGACACTTAAAATATTCGCTGTCAACAATTACCAGTTGAACGAAACCTGAGTGTGGATGAACAAATTGTACCATTTAAAGGGAAACTATCAGTAAAGCAATACATGAAAGGAAAACCAAATCCTTGGGGGATAAAAATATTTTTACTTTGTGGAGAAAGTGGAATCGTTTACAACATGATTTTACATCAAGGCATGTCAACTAATATAAATGAAGAGCTCCAGAAAAATTTTGGTTTGGGCGGAGCTATAGTAGTTTGCCTAACACAAAATATTAGTGAAAATCGACACTTTTTATATTTTGATAACTTTTTTTCGTCTTATAACCTTTTTTATGCGTTACTACAAAAACAAATTTATGCTGCCGGTACTGTAAGATTGAACGGATTTTTCCAACCGCCTATGATGCCTGATAAACAAATTTCGAATTTAGGAAGAGGTACCTCATTTGAAATCACTTCAAAATTAGGAATAAGTTTGCTAAAATGGTATGACAATAAACCAATAAATATGGGGTCGAACTTCATAACATCAGGCACACCGGAATACGTCAAACGGTGGGATAAAAAAAAATAAAGAATTTGTGCATATAGAAAGACCCGAAGTAATAAAATTATATAACAAATCAATGGGGGGTGTTGAAAAGCATGATCAATTAGTCAGCTACTACAGAATGCATATGAAATCAAAGAAGTGGACTCTTCGGATGATTTTTCATGCATTCGATATGGCGGTGGCAAATTGTTGGCTGGAATATGTAAATTATGCAAATGTATTGAAGATTCCTAAAAACAGACAACTTGCTTTATTGGATTTTAAAAGCAATCTTGCCGAAGAACTTATTCTTGTTGGCCGACCTACTCCACCAAGAAAACGCGGCCGTCCATCATCAGCATCATCGCCTAGTGTTTCAAATGTTGACTTATACGATATATCGCCCAAATGCGCCAAATCTTTGGAATTTAGACCTTAGCTAGCTGTCAGCCAAGACCAGACATCACACTACCCAAAATTTGATGGAAAGAAAGAGGCAACCCGTTGCAAAGAAAACAAATGTACAGGTAAAACTCATGTAGTATGCAGAAAGTGTAACATTCATTTATGCTTTACGCCAAAAAAAGACTGTTTCTATAACTTTCACAATAAAATATAGATTTTGCTTTCATTTTAATTTTCATATCATACTAAGAATTACGTACAAGATCGTTATTTGTTTTTATGAATAAGGTATTTTTATTAATAATTTCAGAGACTGAAAAATTAACCAAAGTTATTATTTTAAGTTTATGTTACGTGTATAAATAGGTATATATCCTATGTTACGTTTTTTTAAATTTTAATTCTAATTTTAATATCATAATAAAAATAAATTGTGATTTCTTTAACAGAATAACTATTCCATATTTTGTAATTCGTTTGTTATTATCAGAGACTGAAACATGAAACAAAGTTACTAATGAAAAATAGTTTAAGTTTATACATATTTATATGATATAGGTATTAGGAATATATACCAAAGTAGGTATATCCTGTTATAAATATAAATGTAAGACGTATTTTATTACATATTATTATATTGTATTTGATGTTAAGTTTTTGTTTTTGTTTTTGTTATAATATTGTATCTATACAGAAATATTTTTTTTCATTTGAAAATACACTCATAAAGAATATCAAAAATTACATAAATAATAATTTTTAACCGTTAACTCCCAATGTCCATTACAATGGACGATCCTGTAAATCCTTCAATAATCATTCAAATGTTACCAAACTTGGAGAGATTGTTAATTAATGACCATAAATAAAAATAAAGTAAAAAAAAAAATATTGGTCAAGTTCAATTAAATGGGTAGTGAAAGGGTTAAAAAACTACTTATTTAAAAAAAGAAATGATTATTCAAGAAAGTGATGACGAGTTTTTAGTTCCGAAAGAAGAAGAAAGAGGCTCAATGTACTATGTTGACATTAACAATGGACTTTGTTCTTGTTCATCTGCTCTAACTGGAACATTTTGTAAACACCAATGTGCGGTTTATAAATATTTTGGTGTTAAGTCTGAATATTGTCCAGTTATAACTCCCACAGATCGTTTCAAGATAGCTAAAATTGCCTATGGAGATAAAGTTTTGGATGAATCATTTTATGAACCATTCTTAAAATAATAATGCTCCAATTAATTATGTTGAAATTGAAACTATTAAAGAAGTTGAAAATTATGATGATGCAGATAAAAATACGATGTTTGAAAATGTATTAAAAATGATGAATAATTGTCATGAACATTTTGGTTCATCTTCAAGTATTATTTTGAAATTAGAAGAACGTCTTAAAAAAATTAAAACCGAAGGACAATGGGAAACTTTTTTACACACTGCTGGTCAACAGGTTGCATTAAGAAGAAGAGATGGTGCTATGATAAAAGTTCAACCAACGTCAATCGCAAGAAGGTCTGCAAAAGTCACAAAAGGCAGTAAACGACTATTAACAGGCCGACCTCCATCAGGAGAAAAGACTATGGTGAAAAGAAAAAAACGAAACCTAGGATTGAACATAAACTTAAACCAAACTAATGCTAAAAGTCATGGACCTTTTTAAAGTTGTAGTATTCAATATGAATATATTTTACACTATTATTTAATAAATATATTTTTTTTTTTTGATTTTTGCAGATTGATCAGTGGTACAATATGTTATATTATTTGTCGAAATGAATAACAATTATTTTTTTGTATGTTTTTTTTTTATAGGTACCTAAAGGACTTGAATTTTTAATTCTTTTTTATTTTTAGTTGACATAACCAACATATTTTGTTTGAAACAATGTTTTATCCTGAAATAAAAATTTGGTATTAAATTTAAAATTGATATCTTTATTTGCTAGTTATATTTATATATTGCATTACATAATATGAAACTCTTAGAAATGGGTAAATGTTAAATGGATTTAGTCCATAGACAAATAAATATTGGTATGTCTATGGTCTAGTCTATATAATTCAGAAACATTCAAACCTCAGAAAGTCACAACAGAATCTGATAACAGATAATTGATAGCGAAGTCGTTATCTCATTGGGATTAGAGCCAATCGTAGAACAGTATTTTCATTGGGTCTCTAACAATCACGGTAGATTATAGAGGTATACGCACGACTATCAAAATCATGTCCCGAGAAATATGTCTCTAGTCCCACCACTAAATCGCGTAACAGTCTTTTGGCCCTACTAAAATGATTTTTTACATTATTAGCATTATTAGTATTGGCATTTACACGTTATATTTAGTTTACTATGAAATATGAATATATTTTAAATTGTAATAAGATTAAGATTTTCACTATTTTTAAATAAATGTATGATATTAATATATATTATAGTTCTTATTGTTCTTAATTTGCTTTTAGTTTTTATATAAAAGTAAAATGGTTAAGTGTTTTGTAGTATATTGCAAATCTGGTTATGCAAGTTGCAAGGATAAGGTAAATAATAAATTATTAAAATATAATTACTACCTATCTATATTTTGAAATTATAATTATAAGATACATCCAGTGGTTTGATTTTCTGTATACGTTTATGTTTTATATAGTTCACTCATCTGTTTATCTGTTTACATTTGTTTAATTACTATTATTTTGTATATATATTAACTATCATTTTAAAATAGCCAAAAATGTATGTTCATTATATCCATAGATGTAGATAGCCATAGGCTAGGAACGTTTTATTTTATTATTAAAAAAAAAAAAAAATATATAATTAAAGGAGTATGTTAAAATATTTTTGAACAAGAAGGTTTCTTCTTCCCTAATTCAAGCAATAGTTACGTATATATATGCTTTACAGTCTTAAAATATAATTTATCATATTAGGTTTCAACTTGTTGAAATTGTTATTTATTATGCCTCTGGTTACTTATGCCGCCGTTTAATTAAATCTACAAAATGTGAGGTTTGTTTAAATTCATTTTTAACTAACCTAGATAGTTCTGATTTAGCTTTAGCAGACCTTGTCAACATGAAAACTCAAGGTTATTTACTGAATTGTAATCTTTATTTATATAAATTGTTTTTAAATGCTAAATTTTATTTTGTAAAAATGTTATATTTTCTGATTGCTATGAAAGAACTCTCACGCATATCATAACTAATGTTAACTTAAACTTTCCATGTGACAAACACAAAAGTAGTGTGATGGCAAGTTGTTTGCATTATTACATCCGTATGCGAATGAGGCAATACCAAAGAGAACAAAATAGGTCATCCAAAAAAATATCCAGAAATAAAAAAAAAAGAATCCAAATTATGTGTGACTTAGTTTTAAAATACTTTTAAATTAGATATTAAAAAAGTTACATTTTATTTTAATTTAGCATTGCCCATTGTATTTATAATATTACCTTAATTTATTAATGTTTACATTTTACCTAGCATAACGTCGAATTTATAATACATTAATAAATGTTTTCATTTTCATTTATTTATGTGCAATTTATTTTGTATTTGATCTTAGAAGAGACTTTTTGTTCGTTTATTGCATGAAATCTGTATAGCAAGCGTGAAAATTAGGGCCAAAAGACTGCAGCGCGATCTACCGGTAAACCTGCGAATAAAACACATTCACTGGGACAATTATTATTCAATTTCATTATGAATATATGACCGTGCGTATACCTCTATAATCTACCATGCTAACAATGTACGCTTGGCTTATATGCATCCCGCAAGTATATGATAACAACAACATGTGATAACCACGATTAAAGATAGTATGGTTGCGTGACGACGTATGATACTGTATAGGCAAGAGACGGACACGAAAGTGTTTACAGTCAATCTCACTGCTTGGTGGCGTTCTCTATTGGTCAATAAATTCACAAGGTTTTGATTACGATCATAGATGGCATGGTGGTACTACGGTAGACCAAAAAGTAATTGGGTATACATATTTTATTATATTTTATTATATTATATATTATATTGTAATATATTATTATTATACTTATTTATTAAGCTATTTGAATTTGACTAAAAGTTTTTGGTCATGGTAACCACAACCCACGATAGGAATTTAGGAATTAGTTTTTTTTTATTGTCTGTGATTCATTACAGTATTTTGTCTGGTATTTTACACATTGACATAACATCTCAATGTAATATCCTATAATATTATAATATATATGCAAAATTGTGACTTATTCGGTATTCTTTTAATTACAACTTCCCCTAAAAATATCTTGTTGTATTCGTTCACCACATTCTGTAGAAAATACCACTTTTGGAGTACCGAAGAATGATTTGGAAAAATATAAATGGGAAAAAGCTTCAGGCATGAAATTAAAAAAAGCCACCGCATATGTGCTTCTCATTTTAATGAAAACGGCATAATAAGCTGTTGGAATTCTGGTTTGAATAATAATTCGGTTAGTAGGTAGATACTTAAAAAGATACAAAGAACATTAAGAACAATGTAAAGGAAATCTGCGAATATACCTATTTATACCTGGAAAATAAATAAATGTTTGTCAAAACAAAATTTTAACATATATGTTATAAAAGGAAGCAATTAAAGAAAGGTGCAATACCATCATTAACTTCTATTATTGACATATCATTGTGTTCAACTTCAAGTAACAACATGCACGAAGTAGGTATATTTAAAAATTTATATTTACTTTTATATAAATAAATATAAACTATAATGCCATATAATAGAATTTACTGAATTTAAGTTATTTAACTCCTGACTTAAATATTGTTTATTTGTCTTACATATTTTTATTTTAATAAATAAGGACTTTGATGCAATTCTTCAGGAAACTTCACTCACTAGTTCATCCACTAGCAGTCAATCAGCAGACGTTACTGTTAATGATTTTTCTTTTACACCATGTGCTGAATCAACAACGATAGAACATCATTCAGCTCCAAAAAAAGGAAGGTAACCATAGGTTTTAAATTATAATATTCTGTA